AAGTGTGATACCATATGGAACCTACAACCAAAGGCAGGTATATGCTACTATTTGAGGAAGATTTTGAATAATAGAAACCTATTTGCTGGAATGGGGTGTAATGGGGATTATTCTAGTCAGAAAGGGTATGATTGGCTCATGGGGGATTGCAGTATGTTTAGGGCATATCAAACAGTATGGAATAAGCTCTCTATTCCTAAACATCAATTCTTCCAATGGTTGTGTTGGAAAAACAGAGTACCTACGAAAGACAGATTGAACAAGTATATGGAGATGGACACAACCTGTGTGTTGTGTGAAAGTGGGATTGAAGATCAGCAGCATTTATTCTATGAGTGTGCTTGTACAAAATGTGTCCAGAGTATTGTTGGCAAGTGGTTGCAACACCAATGGAGGGCGAAAACTAATGAAGAAATGCTGGAGGAAGTCAAGATGATCAAGGGAAGGCTGCAAAGACAAACGGTAGAAGCTGGATTTGCAGCAGTATGCTATGCGATATGGCATGCTCGTAACTCCAAAATTAAGCTGAATAATATTATACCCCCTGACGAATGTAGTGTTTGGATTAGGGATCATGTTAGAGTTTATATTAATACTAAGTTAAAAAAGGTGTAGCTAAGCTAGGGATGCTTGTTTAGCCTTGCTGTGGTTGCTTGATTTGTACTCGTTTTAGTTGATGTGGTGAATAAAAATTGTGTGCATTTGTTCAAAAAAAAAATAGAAAAGACTAATTGAAGATCTATGGGAACAGAGGGAGTACTATAAAAGAGGTAAAAATATTAGAGAGTATAATAATATAATACTTACATTGGCCATGTCTCCGAGATTAAGGACGATGCTACCGGGCAAGGGATCAACGGCCACAAGTTCACCGGATTTGGTGATGACGTCAAGCCCCCCGACGCATTCATCATCCTGGAGCACGGTGAGAAACGCGGAGTCTGTGTGTGTCAGCACCCCGGGCCCGCCTATGGTCTCGGGGGTAAAATGGTACTTGTTTATCCTCATGTGGCAACACCAATCTTTAAAATCTTGTTCCCCTTTCACACCCAAGGCTTCACATAGTTTGTCAATAATCTCCATTATCAATGCATGCGCTCCTTTGGCATAATTCACTATTGTCTCCCTGTCATCAACAACACATATGTATATATGCATCAAATCATATGTATTACTCCGTATTAAGTAAGTTGAAAAATTATAAGGAAAATGCTAAAAACCCCCCACCCTTGCTACCACCCATGCCCCCCTACATAAACATGTGGTAGGGAGGCAAAAAAATTAAAATTAGAGGGTGGGTGGAGAATGGGTAGAGATAAATATGTGGTGGAGAAATCGGTGGAGGCAAGGTTGGTAGCAAAGGTGGGGGGTGTGTAGCATGGTCCAAATTATAAACTGATACTCCATATGTTTCATAAAGATAGGGACGGTTTGACTTAACTGGTAAAATAAGGAGGAAGAATTTTGTGGACTTTCCAAAAATAGCCCTGATGTGATGGGTAAAAGTATGATGTGATGTGTAGATCATTGGAAAAAAAGTATGATGTGATAGGTTGAATATGAAAAAGTAAAGGGTAAAAGTGGGTTTTTAATAGAAAAAGGAATGACTTTAAGGGACGCAATTTTTTTGAAACAGGAATGACTTTATGGGACGGAAGAAGTATTACATTGTAATAGAATCAATAACATTTAAGAAAAGTGCATAAAACAAAAATGTCTATGTTTTTTCCTCTAAATTAATTATCAAATTTTCTTTAGATTTGTTCTTATTTGATTGTTATATTAAAAGAATAGTACTCCCCTGGTCTCACTTTTTTTACTTTTACCTTTTCTGTTCGTCTCAATTCTCAAACCCATAAACCTTCGTTATTATTTTATCTTGCTTTTTAAAACTGATATCAGGTAAACAAATTAAACTTATCATTTTGACCTCTCTATCAATCCTTTTAAGAACCTATTTTAAATTGATGAATAGGACTTCCAAAATGTTAGAACAAATCCCTAAAAATGAGTATTAAAGAAAAAAAGAATTTAGAAGAAAAAAAACCTTTGGTGAGGTGAGACATCCAAGGCATCACAAAAGGCCTCAACATCATGGAGAGAGCTCATGTCATAGATCCCAAGGGCTTCATAGTTTGGGTGCCTAAGAGATGGGGTGGTATACCCACTCCCTGGGAGGACATGCTTGTTCCTCGCCTTGATCTCCTGCGGGAGATCAAACAGAGACTTGACCACGTCTTTCATGTCTGGCAGCAGAGATTTCGACAAGACGTGGTCGAAGTTCACGATCCTGCAGCACCCCCACTCCTCGCACGCCTCTCTCAGCTTTCTCAACTGCGCCGGAAAGTCTTGCAGGTCGATCGTCGGGATGGCCACCACCGCCTTCTCGCCGCCGCCGTTGCTTTCCATCTTAATGAATGAATGAAATTACACTCTTTTATTAATTGGATTGATGATGAGAATTAAGAAGAAGAGTTCAATAATAATTCTTTGGATGGTTTGGTTTGTGGGGGGGTGGTTTAATTTATAATGCTGATTCATGATCTGCTTATGGAATGGCAATAAAAGTTTTAGAGCCTCTTCAATTGTTTTCCATTTTGAAAATTTATTTACTCCGTATGGTATTTATCATCCTCCCCGGCCCATATACATTTTCAATGGCCCCTTGGCGCGAATGTGCAATTTTTTTGGGAAATTATTAAGTTTTTACTCCACCCACCAAATTAACTAGTTTGGTTATTCATGCATAAATGAAACACTCGGTTTAGAGTACATAAAAAAAATTGGACTTCTAAATACAAGTTTGAGATATTGGTTGATTCCATTCTTTAGTATGGTTCGTTCTCAAAATAAATTTTTTTAAAGAAAGAATTAACAAAAAATAATAATTACAGTGACAAAAAACAAAAATTTTACACTTTAACTAGTCGATGAAATCCTTTAAACATCGACCACTATAACTCCTATACTTTTACACTTAAAATCATTCAAATTCAAATATTTCGATGAAATTTTTTAATTTTAAGTTGTATCCTCGGCCTCTTGATAACATATACTCGGGAATTAGTTTGAGTTTTTCATTACTTATTTGATTAGATAAAATAATCTTGTAATATTTTGTTATTTAGAATTTCTAATGTAGTTTTGATTGAACCATGTAATTTGTGCTTTTTATGGCGAACATTTACTTGAAAAGTGATTAATAGATAATGATTAAAAGTGCTACATTGGGAAAGTTATTATGTTTTGATGCTATATAAGTAAATTCCCCTTTTATTAATATATCAATTTGTAAATAATGTTTTTTTTGAAAAGATAGAATTTTGCATATATGCTGTTTGAAATGAAAAGAAAAATTGGACGCAAGGAGTGTAAAACTTTGAAAATTTAAGTTTTACAAATTCTTGCAAAATTAGACAAGTTCTTGGAAAATTAAGTTACACAAATTCTTAAACACTAAAATTACTAAACTTGCAAAAATCACATACATAAGTTATACACACATACAAAATACTCCATAGAAATGATCAATGCATGCAAAAAATATTTAGGAAACTAAATGCAAATTTGAATGAAATAAGGAAAATGAGTATGCAAAATGATTATTTTTCTAAGACAATTATCTACTGATTTTAAAAAAATTTGTTTTTTTCGCGAGTCCTTCCTTGGTGCACATTGGCTACATATCATTTTTGTAGACCATCTCGTATAAAAAAATCTTTTTTTATTTTTTAAAAGCAAATGCTTATTTAAGTAGTAAAGAAATACTTATTTTTCTTATATGTAGATTCAAAGTGGACCTCCACAGAATTTGCTTGTTTTCATAAATGTGAGTCTTTAACAGCTAAACTCCCATATTCACTACATTTATTATATTTAAGTAACATTCTTTATTACAACGTTTCTTACAACAAAGTACTCCGTAATTGGAAACTTATCATGCCATGTTCATAAGATTGAACATTCTTTCTAACGCAAGCACCGTACCCCACACCTCTCCAATTGCACTAGTTCTTTCTCATTGACTTTGTGGTCACTTTTTTGACCAAAATGAAAGGTGGTACAATTGAAGGGGTGTTGTGAACAAAGACACTTTTTGAACAAAAATAAGTTTTTTGTTGTAAGAATAAAGACCCTTTTTAAAATTTATTTGCAAGATCAAATAAGTCTAACATATTTTATTTATTTAAAATATTTTTTTGCAGTATATACATGGTCATATTGAGAAGGCAGAGTATTTGTATTGGATGCAAGGGACATATTAATATAATCGATTGGAGGGGCAGGATTGTAGAAAAAATGAAGTAGAGATTTCTTAATTAATGGGCAAGTGTTAAATAGCCTTACAAGGAAAAATAGAAGAAATCCCACATCGAATTCACACAATAAAGATTTCTTCATAACAACTTTCCAAGAATTAATTTTGTTTGCTGAGCTTGGTTACACGAGCTTGTCACCCAAGTGGGAGCTATAAGGTGTTGGGACGTTGGGCTGCCTTTGAAAAAAGGGCCATGGGGGTCTTTGTTCGAAGAGCTAGAGGTCTTAGTTCTTAGACTGAGGGGCAATGCGTGAGGTTGGTTTCAGGGCCGTCTCTGAAAAATTAAGGGCCCTGTACGACACACAGAAAATTGGCAATTGTGTCCTAATATAATAAAATCTACTCCCCCCGTCCCGTTTTAAATCGCCTGTTTTGATTTTTGGGCATATTTAAGGAAAAGAAACACAATAGAGTTGATTTTTCAAAATTGACATTACTTTTAAAGAGAGGTGACGATGAATGAGAATATAAGGTGGAGAAGAGTGACTTATTTTAAGAGTAGTTTATGTATTTTACTCTTAAAAGTTTACGAAAAAAACTAACAGACTACTTATTTTGGGACGGAGAAAAAAGGCAAACATGCAATTTAAAATGGGACAGAGGGAGTATCAATTAGTTTATTTAAAAATAATTGACATTATACTAATAAGAATAATAAAATATCAAATTCATGGTGTAATCAATTGTGTGGCTCCGAATCTCCAATGGACTGGCTACTGTTTTGGCTTAATTCCTTCTGTATGTAGATAGGCCACTAGGCCCACTGTCCTTTACTTCTTTCATTCTTTGTGTTTTAAATTTTTTATATAAATAAACAAATGTGTGCGTATACTTGGGCCCCCTAAAAAAATGGGCATTGTCCCAATGACCAGCCTGCTCCTCCCTCCAGCCGGCCCTGGTTGGTTTCACAGAGCAGCGAAAACCTTTCTCTCTTAACGGTGGATGGATAACATGCCATTGTCTCCTAGGTCCATCAAAGCTCATGGGCTCCCAATAGGACCAACACTTTTTTTCTTTTTTTTCTTTCTTTTTTTTGAGTGATTCTTTCTGCTTATAATATAAGCTGGTCAAAACTACTTATAAATAGTTTTTAAGTTATAAGTCACCTGATTAGTTTGAGCCAAAGTCTTTGTTCAAAGAGCCAGAGGTCTTAGCACTTAGACTGAGGGACAATGCGTGAGGTTGGTTTCACAGAGCAGCGAAAACCTTTCTCTCTTAACGGTGGATGGATTATATGCCATTGTCTCCTAGGTCCATCAAAGCTCATGGGCTCCCAATAGGACCAACACTTTTTTTCTTTTTTTTTCTTTCTTTTTTTGAGTGATTTTTTCTGCTTATAATATAAGCTGGTCAAAACTACTTATAAATAGTTTTTAAGTTATAAGTCACCTGATTATATATGTTTGTGTGCTTATAGCGGACTTATAAACAACTTATAAGTTCAGAAAATAAGGTTTTAGATGCTTATTTTTAGACCAATTTTTTTGTTTTTCTGTTTTGACCAGATTATTTAAAAAGTTGCCCATCACCATTTATGAATATTTAGAAATGCTTTATCTATCATTTAAGTCATTTTATTTCCACGAAAGAATATTTAACTTATAAGCAGCTTATAAATTAAAAACTATTTGCCAACAATTAGGATGAGCTAAGGATCACTGGACTGAGTGTGCCATAAACCACTTGAGTTTATATACCGATTATTTTACACTTTAGCTCATTTCTAAGAGATCCACTTTTATATGCTACAAATGCATTAACATCCATAAAATTAGTATGGACCTTAGATCCACAGAAAAAATTGTCTATAATAATGTCCATTTTTATTGTCTCAAAATGGGTTATAATATTCTACTTTGGTAACTTTTGACACTTTTAAGATTAAAATATCTTCTTTTTTAATATTTCCACTCCCTAAAAAGTAGAAATGGGACTCATATGGTCAGCTCAACTGGTCTCAAAAGTGAAATTTCGAACAAGAAACTAAAGATTGAGCCTCACCAATGACAATGTGGGAGCAATCTCTCAAAAAATGAGGGGCTCCTCGTGTAACATTTTTTGTTAGTTGAATCATCATGATTTATTTTCTCACATTCCTCTTGGATAAGCAGTGTTGGGCACTCACTGAGCGATTCCACTTTTTGAAACAAGAATATTGTTTTAAAAATAGGAAGCAATGAAGTCTTTAGTACTCCGTATTTACTAGAAAAGGGATAGAAATGGGCAGGGAAATGTAGAGGAGCCGCCAGTTCATTTTACTCTTTCAATCCCACTGTTGACTTCACTCCGCATACATCACGAGGAAACGCCAGCGTCCATTATTTGTCATTCCAAGACGAAGAGATCTCAAGAAAACCATCCACCCATACATTATTTATTACTGTAATAAACTCCCATGAAAACTTCAAGGATTTGCTGGGTGTGGGGTTTGGAAGCCTTCTCGATCGCAGGTAAACCCTAAACTCATAAAGGTTCAATCTTTGATTGTCTCTTCGTTCTTCTTGGAATCTGACTGGTACAGCCCAGATCGCCAGGTTCTGCGCGCCTGCTAGGTGTTTGTTTATTTGCCTCTGAGAGAAGTGATGGGATCAGATTTAGATTCAGATTCTGTTCCACTGTTATCATCAAACAATAATCCTCACCTAAATCATTCAACTGAAAAAGAATGCCCTTTCAAATCCAAACCCAGTTTGAACAGTACTTTGATTTTCACCACTCTGCTAGTCACCACCTGTATTACTCTTTCTGCAGCTATTGCTTTTGCCTTCCTCTTTTTCTCGCCCCCATCTTCTTCTTCTGCTGCTGCTGCTGAAGTTTCGAGGCCGCTCACGAAGCTCAAGCGCCCGGTGGTTCTCTTTATTTCCTCCGACGGGTTTCGGTTCGGGTATCAGTACAAAACCCACACTCCAAATATTGACAGGTTAATCAAGAATGGGACTGAAGCTGAGCTGGGCTTAATCCCAGTGTTCCCAACTCTGACTTTCCCCAATCACTACTCAATTGTGACCGGTTTATACCCTGCTTATCACGGGATCATAAACAATCACTTTCTTGATCCGGACACCGGCGAGGCTTTCACTATGCAAAGCCATGAGCCCAAGTGGTGGCTTGGGGAGCCACTCTGGGAGACCGTGGTGAACCACGGTTTGAAGGCTTCGACTTATTTCTGGCCCGGTTCTGAGGTTCATAAAGGTTCTTGGAAATGTCCCGAGCTCTACTGCAAGAGATATAATGGTTCTGTGGAGTTTGAAGAGAGGGTTGATACCGTGTTGAGATACTTTGATCTCCCTGATCAGGACATCCCTTCGTTTATGACATTGTATTTCGAGGACCCTGATCATCAAGGGCACAAAGTGGGCCCCGACGATCCTCAGATCACCGAGGCTGTCACTAGAATTGACGCCCTGATGGGGAGGCTGATTCGCGGCTTGGAAGAACGGGGAGTTTTTGATGATGTCACCATCATAATGGTTGGCGATCACGGGATGGTCGGTACATGTGATAAAAAACTAGTCTTTTTGGACGATTTTGCCCCATGGATTGAAATTCCAGAGAGCTGGATCCAAGATTACACTCCATTGCTTGCAATCAGCCCACCGGCGAATTACTCAGCTCGCGACATTGTTTCCAAGATGAACGAAGCAGTAAAATCTGGGAAAATCGACAACGTGGAGCATTTGAAGGTTTATCTCAAGGAGGATTTGCCAGGCAGGCTGCATTACTCTGGAAGTGACCGAATCCCTCCCGTGCTTGGTTTGCTCGACGAAGCATATAGCCTCAAGAGGAAGAACACGGGAGCGAAAGAGTGCGGTGGGGCCCACGGGTACGACAACGGCTTCTTCTCGATGAGAACCATTTTCATAGCACACGGCCCACGGTTCGCCAGAGGCAGAAAGGTCCAATCTTTTGAGAATGTCCAGATATACAACTTGGTCACAGAGATCCTGAACTTAACTGGTGCACCGAATAACGGGACTTCGTCGTTCCCAGACGAAGTTCTTCTTCCCGCGCAGGGGTCGTTCGGGGATTGATTTCTCCGGGCACGGAGTGTTTGTAGGGCGCGTTTGGAGACTCTTAAGAGAGCAAAGATGTGCTGTGTCTCATGTGTTTGCATACAAGTTCGAATTGTAGGTAATAATGATGAACTCATATCATGTAGGGAGGGTTCACTTGTGTAAGGAATTCCAGTTTCCATTGCAAGGATTCAAATCATGACCATTGTAAGGCTTCACTTGTTTCTTCTACTACTATTCTGTCATTATTACTCCGTATTATAATCATTCTCTTCAAATTTCTTGACAAATTGGACGTTTGATGTTAGATTGAAATTATTTTTAATTTAATTTATTTCAGACTTAGGTCTAAAAGGATAAGAAAAGTTGTACATTTAAAAACTACAGAGCACATCAAAAGATCTACTTGCTTTATTAAGCAAGATGTGACAACATTATCAAATTTTGTCAAATAATTAATGAAAATAGTTAAAAGAAATTAATATTTACCTTGAATTAATAAAGCATAGCGAAACTAGTCTAAAAAAAATAAGCATAAAGAATTTCTTAGAACAAAGAGAGTACTCGTATTATTTACTTTTCTTTATTTATTATTCTATTTACTTTTCTGAGATTTAATTCTCGTATTTACTTTCTGTATCAACAAAAGCCAGCAAAACCAATCGCGAACACAGAGCAAAAACTAACAGTAATGAACATCTATTCCCGTTGAAAAATTGTCTCGTCAGTCGAGAAATTCATTTTGGAATATTTCAAAGCCTCAAACTTCGGAACGAGATGTCATTTAGTGGACTGGCACGTGATTCTCCACGCACCACTACTAGTGAATGGCTTGAGCCGATCAACACTGTACCGCATCAATGCACCGTGGGTGATGTCCTCGTCACTTTGTCCACTCCACCGTTTATGGTTGATTTTGCTCCATATGCCATTACTTGAGAATACTTTCGCCTGCAAGTCTCGCCATTTATTAGAGATCATGTTCTTCATCTTTTTGAAAAATGTGGTCTCAACCCGCATCTAAAAATCGGAAGAGGGTTAGTTATGCACTATAATTGTCATTTTAAAAAAAAATATGATAGAAGTAATTGGAAAAACATAAGGTTAAAAAAATGAGTAAATACAAATAAAAGTGAAAACAATATGTATTTGAAATATAACTTTTATACATATACATGTATATATGAACTTTAAATTTTAATTTTTATAGAAATGAATTATCCTATCAATATAGGGCATAGTGCATTACATAATTATGTTTAAAATTTAGAGAGAAGTGATAAAAAATCTCATACCTATAAAATATACATATTAAGTTTATTTTTTCGTTAATTCTATCCAACTTCCATCTTACATAATAATATTCATGTTGCATAATTATTATAAATCAATAAAGTATAGAAAAAAGAAATTAAATAATCAAAAATAAGATTTTTTTATTTTTACGAGTACCTTTTTGAAGAACAAAAATTTAAAAATTTATTAAGAACGAGACTAGACTTGGACCAGTCTTAAGGGACTCTCTCATCCCCTTTTTTTAGTGAAATTTGCACTAAATAATACTAAAATATATGTCATTTTTCAATATAGTACTTAAACGGTTTTATTCCGTAAATAGTACTTGAATATTGTCTAGTGGTGGCGACAATGTCCTGTGATAATGAACATTTAGTTTAGACATTGATCAGCGGACAATGAACAGTTGTACCACATTGAGCATTCAGCAATAAAAATATATGATAATACATTAAAATAATTATTATATTTTAGTACGGGATTAATAGCATGGGCACCCCCGGTGGTTTATAAAAAGGGCGTCAAAACCCCCACTGTTTTCAAAATTTACTTATAAAGTCCTTGTGGTTTCTAAATAGAGCACACATGCCCCCCTTACCTATTTTTAAAGCAAAAATGACATTTATGCCTTTGTTTTCTCCGATCTTGAATTTTTCCGATTTTAATTTTCTTTATTATACAAATATATAAAATAAAATATATGCTTCCCATCTCAAATTAGAATTTTTCATAATGTACTTTTGAAAACAAAATATTTTTTGGAGGATGTTACAAAAAAATGAAAAATAAAATATTATGTACAAAGTAAAAAGTAATAATAGTTAAAAAAAGTAATGAAAAGAAATAAAAATATAAAAAATAGTCTTTTTCTTTAACTCCATATTTTATTTCATCTTTCTGTTCTTCATTTTTAAAGTCCTTAAATTATTTTACTTTTAAAAACAAATAAGTTAGAATTTTTAACTAGAGATAGAGTGAGTATATGTTATCCAATTTTTTATTTTATTTATTTTACTTTTACTTATAATGAAAAAGTGTATTTTATTTCATTTTTGTAACATTATCTAAAAAATTATTTTTTAAAAAAAATTAAATAAATGAAAATTTTTAATTTGAGAAAGAGGTCGTATATTTTATTTTATTTATTTGTATAGCAAAAAATGTAAAGAAAAGAGTGAAATTTGAAGATAGAGAAAAGTCAAGGGCAGAAATGTCATTTCATGTGTAAAATAGGAAAGAGGGGGTATCCGTGACCCATTTAAAAACCACGGGGGTTGTACAAATAACTTTTGAAAACAAAGGGGGTTTTGACGTTCTTTTTGTAAACCACGAGGGCACGCATGCTTTTATCCCTGTTTTAGTACTATTTAGATAATTTGGGACTAAAATATTTGTTGTATTGGATTCTTCCAAGCCTCAATCTTCCGTCTTCCATTTCAGTCTCTGCATCATATGGTCGCCGCTCTTAGCGGTTCAGGTGAATTTGCATTGCTAGATTCTGATTACGGTTTATTTACTATTTCTTTTGGTGCTTTTGATTTCACGAGTAGTTCACTACGTTATTTGTTTTATTTCATTTCCAAACCTGAAGTGAAGAAAACAACACACGAACCATTCGTAGGGTGGAGCTATAAATAATCTGTTGGGTCTTTTATTTTCCCTTTTCCTTTGGTCGTGAATGTAGTGCGCCACTCTGCATATCGTATTTTCCAGGTCGAAAAATGGCTTCTTTTTTATCAGTCAGGCATGGGTTCTGGTGCACACCATCTGTTTGCTGAAATTACACAACAGTTTGGGGGCTGATATTTACCATTTTATTATTATAATTTGTAGTAAAGTTACATTAATCAAGCATTCTTTGATAGTATGTGAGTTTTTTTCTTTCAATAAACCTTTTTTTATTGTAGTTGGTGCCTCGTTCGTGTTGTAGCTTTTTTTATTCCCTAGTGACTGAGGAAATATGTCTTTTTTGAAAGCAATTCTCTAAACCCTCTCAAATGTCCAGTAGCATCCTTTCGGGGGAGACATTGGCGGCAAATTAGTTAGACGCCTATCTAATAGGGAGTGTAGCAAGATATTTGCGACTTGAACATGGTTGAATTTTCAAACTTTGGAACTTTGGCATACATTTGTCAATATATGATATTCTTAGTACATGTTTTAAAAAATTTGACGCCCTAACAAATTTGGAGCCCTATACCCATGCCTAGTTCAAGTGGCCTCAAGATGGCTTTGTAAATGTATAGCCTGTGTGAATTTTGTGTAGGATCGTTTTTCTGGAACTTCCCAGTGGGTCACCCATCCTAGGACTACTCCCGTTCTAGCACGCTTAACTACAAAGTTCTGAAGTTAAAGAGGTGCCAAATGCTTCCTAAAACCAATTGGTGATAGAAAGGTGGACACTTTGTATTTAACCACATCTCTCTGTAGCCCCAAGCCGAGGTAGATTCCTATAGGGCACCCCCTATAGTTCACTACGGCAATGTGGAGCCCCACTACTGAGCGGTGGATGGACAGGAGAGGCTTCGCAAGATACACGACTCGTGTACCTCGTCAGGTTGGGCTGTCAGTACCCGATACCGTGACTAGCACAGTAGCAAATCCCTAAGGGTGATCGATGGTCCTCCATAAGAACAACATTTTGTGCCTACAGTGCAACTTTATTTGCATATGCCCGGTATTATATGCATGTACCTATAACATTGCTTAGAGTTATGACTTTGGATTGAGCTTTTATTTACTTACGTAGTTGGTGGTGTGTTGTGTGAACTATTGAGTATGAACTTTATCTATCTATTTCTTTGAAACTTTTGTTGTGTTATAACTTTTGGTAGGTTGTTGATGGTGTTTTCAAACTTGATCTTTGTGTTGAATGTTTTTAAGCATCTTCTTTATGGTATATTTGTTCTATACTATGTTTAGTGGCTATTGGACTCATATTGTTTTTAATTTCAAAGTTTAAACTACCATTCTTGTTGAAAATATGTGCACACATGACACATTTTAAGCCATATTTTTGAAAAAGCAAACATATAAAACATGAACGTATTCGTATATGTATTCCGAATGCATGAAACATATAATTAATCATATTTTAACCATCTGATCAGTATTATACATGAATGTACAAATGATTGTATATATCTGCTATGAAAGGTGTGGGATATTGAGAGAGTTATTAAGAAAACTATATTACTAGTATTGAGAGAGTTTTTAGGAAAAATATAATACTAGTATTGGACTAACTTGGCACCATGTTGGCATGCTCTCCATGCTGTATGTGCTTTACGTGTTTTCTGTGATCCTATATTATAATATGATATCTGTGCTACTTGAGCCGGGGGTCTTTTAGAAATAGCCTCTCTACTTTCATTAGGGGCAAGGTTTACGTACACACACCCTCCTCAGACCCTACACTTGTGGGATCCCACTGGGTTGCTGCTGTTGTTGTTTAAGGTGTGGGATATGTTAGGCTTGTTTGGTTTGGTTTCGTCTAGTCACTTCAGAACTATATACATAGTGCTTGGGCATGTTTGTCAGCGGCAATTGGCTAAACTATCCCCATTGTGGATTATATGTGTATGTATGTATGTGTGTGTGTGCACATCATTTTAATTAATTAAAACAGCTTAAAACTGCTGCTCTTCGCAAATGGTTTGTGGGATCTATTTCTACACTATGTTGTAAAACTTTCATCATAAGTTGTTTATTAGTTTGTATTTCACACAAATGTTGATGTCATATGTTCAAGAATTGAATGAAAAATTCGTGTTGCAGCTTAGTATGAAAATGGCATCCTATTTGTGGAGAAAATATGCAGACTATTTGTACACAAAATGGGAAAGGACAATTCTTTGGGACATGGTAGAGCCATACAGGAGACCCAAGTCCTTCACTCCACTTGTTGCAACATACATCTGTGCATTTTACACTGGGGTCATTGGTGCAGCCATCACTGAGCAAATCTATAAGGTTTACTAGCTAATCTTCTCAGGACCTTCATTTGTCAGCCATTTTCTTTACTACTCTCCAGTCCCGAAGACATGTTATACTTCGTATTAGATTTAGTATGGTGTAATAGGAGTATAAGGTGCCATATATGAGTTCCTTTGTTCCAAGGTTTGCCATTGTAGCGGCAACGCTGAAGAAAATATAAACAAGTCTTTTGCTCATCCTAGGCAATTATATTAATTACTTCCCTCGTCTTAAAAGACGTTCTTTTTGGTTGAGGTATAATTTTGTTAATTTTGACAAGAAACAAATGTGAGAAGTCATGAAATCCTACTTATATGTTTTAAAAGTTTAGTTGTTTGTTTAGCTAAATTTATCATTTTTAAATTTTTTTTGTAAGCTTTCCTTGCATATTACTTTATAGAGTAGCTTCACATGATGAAATAACAAGACTTATTATAGTATTAATGATTATTATTGATGTGATTATGATCAGGAAAAACATTGGGAGAATCACCCTGGAGAAGCGGTACCTTTGATGAAACCAATATTTTATGGCGGGCCATGGAGAGTAATGAGAGGGGACGTTCCTCCTACCGGAAAATTTGAGCTATGAACCAGCTGCCGCAAATATACACCCAAAGGTTCCAACCTTCATTTTGTTTCCGACTCGCTCCAAACACTTGTGCATATCTTATTTGTCACTTCTCATGTATGTTTGCTGCCACTCTGAACGCTACACTTCCCCCAACTTTGACACCATATATGATGACTGTCTATGACAATTGTTTGTCTATGAATATGAATTTGTTTACACAGACAACAATGCAACTTTCTCAGAACATGTATAGATCGTTGCTTTGTCTATGTAAATAAATTTACCAACCGTTGTTATCCATGGTGTTAAACTTGGGGGCATTAAAGTTTTTTTTTTCCATGGGCAGAATGATTAGTTTCCGTCAGTGAGAATGAGAATGAGAATAGTGTTATTTGATTCTATTATGGCTTTTGTTAGGGTTCAGTTAGTGTTTTTTTTTTGGAATTACTCATATTTTTGGATGGTAATTTTGGTTGGTGAAAGAGGGAATGACAAAGTCCAAGCGAACATGTGTCTCTGTTTGAGAAAATCTCTGGGAAAGAAAGACCAATTGAGAGCCCTCAATTTTCTTTCCATTTCAGCAATTATTCTCCATTTCAGGGAGGAAAACAAAACTCCCAAGACAAGGAAATGACAACCTATGGCACAATCCCAACCTCATCGGACAACGGTTTGCAACACCGCCACATTGTCAGATCGGGCTTCCTTTCCAGCCACCGTCCGTGGCGGGAGATGGCGGTCCCCATCTCCCCGCCAGGGAGCATCTCGGCCGCTCTCTCCCGAATCAAAGCGAACGTCTCCTACTTTTACACAAACTACGCCATTGTCGTGCTCTGCGCGATCTTTTTGAGCCTGCTATGGCGGCCGGTGTCCCTCATCGCCTTCACCTCCATGATGGTCGCCTGGCTCTACCTCTACTTCCTCCGGGATGAGCCGTTGGTGATTGCGGGCTACGCGGTCAATGAACGGGCAGTCTTGATCGTGCTGTCGATATTCACGACTGCATTGTTGCTCGCCACCGCCACAGTGAATGTCGTGGCGGCACTTGCTGTGGGTGCAGTGGCGGTGCTGATGCACGGGGTGTTTTCCGGCGGTCTGGAGCCGGAAATGGATACCGAGCAAGGCGGGGCCGGTGGTTCTGGGTTGCCTAGTAAGGTGCATTTGGTAGAGGCTGCATCTTCAACGTTTTCTACTTCTTAAAAAAGTGTGCCTGACACTGTGACATTAAATTGAAAATAGTTAGAAGAGAGATACCATATTCGAGTCAATATTATTTAAAAAAAAAATTGGACTTGAAATTTCCCATTCAAGCTAGTCTACTCCAACGATACTAAATGAAAATTGATCATTTCAAGCTAAGCTCGCTGCGCCTTCACGAATTGAAGTAAAAAAAAACATATGGATAATTAGAGCCTGCAAATAACTGGACTATGAAAACATGATATTTATAAATAAAAAAATTATAAGATAGTTTTTAAAAATATATACTAGCTACTTTTTAAATATTTTATTCTTAAATATTTTTTTAAAATGATTTTTTTAATAGATTGTTTTTATAAAATAAATTTTGAAAATGAGTTTTATTTAAATAAATATTAACATTAGATTTTTTAAAAAATTTAAATATAAAAGGTGATTTTTTAAGAAATACGAAAAATAAAGGGTGGCTTTTAAAAATCAATTTAACATAAAAGGTGATCTATTAAAAATAATAATTTTAAAAAGTGATTTTTAAATAATCAATTCAAATAAAATGTGATTTTTTAGAGTTGTTCTTCAATAGTCTTAAGATCCAAATATAAAATGTAGAGCTTCTTATATTCTTTATGGACTGACTAGTTGATTTTTTGTAAAAGGCTTAATTTGATATTAATGCACTAAACTTTATAAAATGAATATAGACTTTAAGACCACGTAAGAATTTGCGGACTTTTAAAACTAAATTTAACATAAAACGTGGTCTTTTATAAAAATGATTTCTAATGGGGGTTAAAAATTTAAAACAAAGAATGCGATTCGCAAAACAATTTCTTAAATTTACGTAGTGCCAAACATCCATTCTATTGAATTAAAATTTACTAATAAACTCAGTCGAGCTAAAATTATTTGCAATTCTAAGTACGAATTGATAAGTTAAATTAAAAATAAGTTGAAAAGAATAAATTAGACAATGAGTTTTTTTTTTTTGAAAGGAAGAATTCTTTATTAATTCATAGTATAAAACTGAAGAGCGACACAAATATATGTTGGAGGGACAGAAATCCATTCCAACAAATCAAACAAAGAATTATACGCCCTAGATAACAGATGAGCAACCTGATTCGCTGACCTTCTAACTATTAACGGATAAAGATAAAAAAGACTCTGATTGAAGAGATAAACAATCTAAAATAACTCCGGTAAAATAAGAAGCATAATGATCTGACCTCAGTGTGTAAGGTACGAAAGACGATCTCATTATCCATCTCCGCCACAATGATTGTGCACTCTCCCTATAGCCCAAAGGATTGTGCAGTCCTCCATGAAAGCCCCCTTAGCTTGCCAATCTCGAACTACTATTCCCACATGCATGTGCTGTCTTTGTTTCTGGATCAAAGCCTGCATCGACGTTGCATTTAACTACATACTCCCTCTTCTGGTGATCGCCATCTAGCATGAGATGCTGTTGTTTATTGAATGCCGCCATAGCCTTTTACCTTGATCTACTTTCGGCAAACCACTGATCAATGAAAGTCGAGATTATTTTTTAAAAAAATTTTCATTTTTTAATTTTTTGAAACTTTTAAATTTATTTTAATTTCTACCTCCATCATTTCTTTTTCTTTTTTTTTTAAAGATCAGTCTTACTTTAAAAAAAATAAAATACGTAGCATAACAAAAAATGAGAAAAATAACTAAAACGATGCAAAACTAATAAAATAAATAAGGTAATCAATAGAAACTAACTTGAAATTGGTAAGAAATAGAATAAAAATATACAGAGTGGTTGGTTTTAATATTTTATGCACTATACAATGTATTAACGTACCACTTCTTATTTTTTAAGAAAAAATTATCTAGAATAATTCTAACTTTTAACGGACGGCTTGTTCTTTTTGAAAAATAAGTAGTACATTAAGACTCCGTATAGTGTGTAAAGTGTTAAAGCCAACTACTCCTTATATATTTATTTTATTTCTTACGAGTTTCAGTTTAATTTCCATATTGATTACATTATTTATTTCATTAATTTTGTATGATTTTAGTTATTTTTCTCATTTTCATTATTTTTTTATATTTATTTTTATTTTTTTCTAAGGTATGAATAATGTTTAAAAAGGAAAAAAGAAATGATGGAGGTAGAAAATAATTTTAGAAATTTAAATGAAAATTTCAAAAAAATTAAAAAACAAAAATTCATAAAAAATCATCTCAACTTTCATTTTGTTGCGCAAAACACACATTTCAGTTAACCTGCCGTTAAAAACTTAACGGCGATCCAAAACTCGCAAATTCATATCATGTAAAGTTGGAATTACTCTGTATCATAATGAAAGATGAGATTATTTTTGAAAGAATAGGTAAAGTTGAGAGTATTTTAGATAATTTTTCTTATAAAGAAAAGAAAATATAGTTTGATCTTGTCAACCATAGTTTAATCATTTATTTTGGGACGAAGAGGGTATATATCATGATTAAAATTTATCAATTTATTTACAAAGCCAAATGAAATTAACTAAAACGACTAAGACCTTATTTGGAAACATCGTTTCTACTTAGCATTAGTATTTTAAATAATTTTTTTAACAATATAAATTAATTCTGAAAATATTAAGGGTCTGTTTGGTATACTGAATTGACGGAATTGGGAATGAACTTCTATGGAATTGATTTTGATGAAATCGAATTCTTCAATTTCAATTCATTTTTGGTACTACCAAATCCAAATTTATATATTTCTGTGCTACCAAATATCATAATTAGAATTGTTATCTCTAATTCTAATCTAATAATTTGAATTATGTGTAGCAAACGAAGCTTAAAACTAAATGCTACCATTACTTTTCTCTTTTTTTTCCTAAATATTAAACTTAAACTTTATATATTAGAGTATATTTTCCCAAAATTTCTACGGAGTATAAAAAAAAAAGAAGTTAATTCAGATTAGAGACGGGAGATAAAGCGTGTAAGCCGTTGGTAGGGTGGCCCTTTTACCATTAGTTTTCCATGTTTTTAGCACCTTCAACTAACTTTGATCAAACATAATTTGACTTGATACTCATCAAACACCTGTGTAACAATACAATACAATTTCACTCCCTAATCCATCAAAATATATTTCCGGCGGCTTTGTCATTCTCTCATGATTCATCCTTCAACATTAACATGCATTAGAGGTAAGCATTTCAATATTTCAAGCAAATTAAATATACACTCCTCCCCCATGTTTTGTTATTGTCCTTAATTAATTACGTATTAATGTATGGAGACCGCTGCATATATATATATATATATATATATATATATATGGAGCAGCATATTTTTCTCCCGATTTGAGTGGATCTATCCTCTTTAATAATAATAATAATAATAAGGCCATTTTAAATTCCAAGAAGAGATGGAATTGTGTTAGTGAATTAATGACAGGGAGCGTTAGTTTGAACTAACAGAAGGGATTGGTGATCATGAGGAAGATGTGTCCGAATTTCGACAGGGAAGAGGGGCTGGAGACGGTGTTGGAGGTGCCGATACCGGAGGAGATGTTCGCGAGCATGGGGAACAACGTGGCCGTCCGGTGGCAGAACATGTCGACGTGGATGAAAGCTCAGACGTCGGACAAGTGGTCGTCGCCGGTGATCGTCGCCCGCTACAACGAGATGAGCTTCCTCCTCTACACCTTGGGGTCCCCTCTGATCCCTCTCCAACTCCATCTCGACCCCTCCGTCCCTCGCCCCATCAAAAATTCTCCCATTGTAAGTAAGTCCATTCATTCATTGTTTCCTTGGAATATCTAATCATATCACCAATTCCTCTTAAATCTCTTTAAAAATCAATGACTCCCATGTTTTGACGACCCGAGGGCTGAATTGCGACGACGCTTGCATGGCATGCAGGAGGCGTCGACGGCGAAGTACATAATAACGCAGTACATAGCGGCGATCGGAGGGCAGGCGGTGATGAACGCGGTGCGGAGCATGTGCATCGTGGGGCACATAAAGATCGGGACGTCGGACTTCCACCAGGGGGACCAGAGCGTCGTCAAGGCGCGGGGCAGCGAGGAGAGGGGGGGCTTCTTCCTCTGGCACAAGAACCCCGACCTCTGGTGCCTCGAGCTCCTCATCTCCGGCTGCAAGCTCATCTCCGGCAGCAACGGCAGGGTCGCCTGGCGGCAGTCCTCCAACCAGCAGAGGCCCATCGCCAGGGGCATCCCCCGGCCCCTCCGCAGGTTCCTGCAGGGCCTCGACCCCAGGTCCGTAGCCAACCTCTTCATCGGGGCCGTCTGCATCGGGGAGAAGATAATCAACGGCGAGGACTGCTTCATCCTCAAGCTGGAGACGGCCCAGTCAGACTTGGAGGCCCAGAGCGGGCCCGGCGGCTTCGAGATCATCCACCACACCATCTGGGGGTATTTCAGTCAGAGGTCCGGGCTGCTCGTGAAGTTCGAGGATTCCAGGCTGCTGACGGTGAAGTCGAGCAGGGAGGAGGAAGGGGTGTTTTGGGAAACGAGCAATGAGTCGGTGATAGAGGACTACAGGTACGTGGACGGGGTCAATGTGGCCCACGGCGGGAGGACCTTCGTCACGGTGTTTCGGTACGGGGAGCAGTCGGCCAACCACAAGAGGGAGCTCCAAGAAACTTGGAAGATTGAGGACGTTGACTTCAACGTCGATGGTTTGACTGATGAGTTCTTCATGCCTCCTTCCGATCGAATTTGATGACCTGATGTTAACAAATTACTCCCTTAGTGCTATAAATTTTTCTTCATTTTTAAGGGAGTGAACTTTTACACTTTGACTTTCAATTATACCATCCCCTTAAAAAACCTTGTTGTTCACTGTATTAAAAGAAAAAACTGGACCACACAAAAAAACCATTAGAGCATTTGTAAAAGAAAAGATCAGAGCCACACATTGATTTGTTCGAATTATTCATTGTCAGATAGGTACAACTACTGCAAATTTTTGGCACTAGTCTCAAAATCAAAAATGAAAACATTTTACAAATAGGAGGTAAATTTCTAAACATTTCCCTCCAAATACAAACATAAAGTCCACCAAAAGGCCATAGCCTATAAATATCCAACCCTTCTAAAATTAGAAACTCCAACCCCCCGAAAAAAACTGCAGCTCCTGCCCACTATTCATCTCACATGCGTGATACTCACACCGCTGCTCCGCCTCACACCGATGCTCTGCCTCACACTGCTGCTCCGCCTCACACCGCTGCTCCGCCTCACACCGATGCTCTGCCTCACACCGCTGCTCCGCCTCACACCGATGCTCCGCCTCACACCGATGCTCTGCCTCACACCGCTGCTCCGCCTCACACCGCTGCTCCGCCTCACACCACTGCTCCTCCTCTCCCAAGCAGAGATGAGAATCTGCAAATGGAAAACGAAATAAGGAGCAAAAGGCTGACAAATTCAGAAAGACAAAGAATTGTAGAAGCAATCTTACCGTACACAAAAACAAAATCAGGTCAGTACGCAGCTCAGAAAGGAGTTATCAGTAAGGTTGCTGCTCAATTTAATGTTTCAAGAAGATCTGTAGGGGAGATATGGAGTAGAGCTAGAAAACAAATACAGGGGGGTGTTGCCATTGATGTGAATAGTCAGGTTCGATTGAAGTGTGGAAGGAAAAGGAAGGTGATAGACATAGAGTCCATCCCGAACATTCCTCTAGCTTAAAGGACAAGCATTAGGGCCATGGCTGCTGCCTTAGGTATTTCAAAGTCTACATTGCATCTTTGTATTAAAAGAGGATTGGTCAGAAGTCATTCAAATGCAATTAAACCATACCTAACTGATGCAAACAAGTTTCAAAGATTGCAATTTTGTTTGAATCAGATAGAACCCATTAGCATCCCATCTAAGCCGAGGTTTAGATCTTTCTAAAATGTTCTTCACATGGATGAAAAATGGTTCTTCATGTCCAAGACATCACAGAAATACTACTTGACTCCGAATGAAATGGACCCTTACAGAACATGCAAGTCAAAGCGTTTCATTACTAAGGTCATGTTTTTATGTGTGGTTGGTAGACCCTTAATCTCAGAAAATGGGGAAGTGTTGTGGGATGGAAAAATTGGAATATTTCCATTTGTTGAAACTGTGGCAGCTAAAAGAAAGAGTAAGAACAGAAATGCAGGTCTTCTAGAGGTGAAACAACTTCATAGTGTTACCAAACAAGTGACTAAACAGATGTTGGTCACCCAAGTCATCCCTGCAATTCAACAAAAATGGCCACCCATTTTAGGCAAAAACATTGTGCTCCAGCAAGATAATGCCAGGCCTCACATATCTGCCACAGATCCAGATTTTATGGAAGCATCAACTACAAATGGATTCAACATAACCTTAAGTAACCAACCCCCCAACTCTCCAGACCTCAACATTCTAGATTTGGGGTTTTTTAGAGCCATTCAATCACTGAAAGAGCAGTGTGCTCCTAAGAATGTGACAGAGCTACTAGAAGTAGTAAGGGGTGCTTATGATTGCCTAAGACCAGAGACTTTAAACAAAGTATGGTTAAGCTACCAAAATGTGATGCAAGAAGTCATGAATGATGAAGGAGGGAACAAATACAAGCTCCCACATATGGCAAAGGACAGGCTGACTAGACAAGGAGCACTACCAGTGTGTTTGGATGTACCCTACACATTGGTAGAGAAGACTGTACGGGTGCTTGGTCAGGCCAGTGGACAGAGTGAAGAGCCAGTGGTACATGAGTTCATAACTGAAGATGAAGAGAACTTCTCATCTTCAGAGATGAACTAAGTGTTTATCATAACACAAAATCTCTTCATATTTTGTGAATGATTGGGTACATTTATCTTTTGCTTTTTGAATTTTGTAATTGTAGGTTGTAAATACTGAAGAGTAGGAAAGTAAGACCTTGACCGTTTTGTTTTCACATCAAGGAAACTACTCAATATGTACCTGAGTCAGTTTTCTTTGACTACCACTCACTTTATGTACCCTAACAAAAATCTTGAACATGCAATGTAATTTCCACAATCATCATAGCTGTGTATGTACTTCTAATCATGCATGGACTAAAAAAATAAAGAGAAACTTCACTTTGTAGTCTCGGTAGGACAGCAATGCTGGAAATCGCTGGACCTCGCCAACCTCTGTGCCAATGGCATTGGAGTGGCTGCCCATTTCAGCATCAGACAGTTCGTTTCTGTCCTCCTCCTCCTCAATGAACTGGTCTTCATCTAATTCACTTCCAAATCCTTGCATGGGCTCATCCTCCAACTCGCTTTCCTCATACTCACTGTCGACAATGACCCAGCCGACGTTTAGAAGAGGATTGGAGTCAGATCCAGCATCATCCGACTCACGCTCCCCCTCCTCTAAGCTTGAAGCGTCCAAATTTTGATTCTCTCTGCCCTCAATCCTCGGATTTTCAGGGTTCATCCTTTGGGATTGGGACTCAGTTTCAGGGATCTGAGATTTCAAAATAAAATTTCACATATCCATATGAGACAAGAAGAGGTGTAATTCACAGAGACACGAAGAGAGGGCAAGGATGAGAGGCGCAAGAGAAGGAAGAGATGGATCTAGGTTCAGAGAAGGGAGGCGGAGAAGTGTAAGAACGAAGGAGAGGAAGAGATAAGGTCAGAGGTGTGGACGGTGAAGAATGAAGATAAAGGAGTGGGTTGGGTATGGGGTGGGTGAGTAATAAATGGGAGTAACTTTTTAGGGGTATTTTAGTCATTACATGTGTATTTAAAGTGTGTGGGAAAATGATTTTAGGACAGGAAAAAAAAGAAGTGGGAAGATCAATATAGGACGGAGGGAGTATTAGAGATTTGACCATATATGATAGAATAATAATTTTATTCATATAAAGAGTCATTTCACACCACAAATCAGGCATAAAAAGTGTAAATTGATTTTATGAAAACTAAGAAAAAGTTTAAGAAACTTCGTTTATGATTATATTTTTTTAAGAAAGAAAAATGATATTAATCACACGTTTTGGAACACCATGACTTGCCTAACTTGGTTCACGATGGTTAGCGAGCTGGAGAGTTAGCCAATTGGTAAAGTAAGACTGCTTTTTTGGTGCACCTTGGTTTTGTTCCATTTTTGTAGATATTTTTACATAAAAAGTATTTTTCAAAAAAAAATTATTAAAAAACACAGATACTTAATTAAGCAGTAAAAAATACATTTTTGTTTATATATAGGTCCATGGTGGACCTTAGATCCACCATAGAATTTGCCAACATTTCATTATGTGAAAAGTAGGGAATAATAATAATACTCCTAGTAATTTTCTCTTTGAAAGGAAACTTTTGCATTATATTACTTCAAATTCTCAACATGTAAAGCAACACAAATACTAGGTGTGGAGGGACATATATTCTCTTTGAAAGGAAACTTTTGCATTATATTACTTCAAATTCCAATCACACCATATACATTTTCAATAATGCTTCTACTATAATTCTAAGCTTGGCACTATATATTGATACTATTTTTCATGCAGAAGATAGTTCTAGGTAAAAAATTACTCTCTTTGAAACATTAATTAATGCTTCATTTGGTATACAAAATTCAAACTATACAATTGGAATTGGGGATAATAATTCCAATTTTGTTGTTTGGCAGCATAAAAATATGTGAATTTGGAATTGATAGTGTTAAAAATGAATTGAAACTGAAGATTTAATTTTAACCAAATCGATTTGATAGAATTCCAACTTCCAATTTAATTACAATTTTGTCAGTTTCGTGTACCAACGGACTTTAATGGCATTATTTTTGTAAACCATCTGTGATCATAGCATGACACATATGTGATGTTTGTGATGATACTATCAATTCCACACGATCAAACATAAAATTAGATGTCAAAGCTAATAAATGAGTAACTTGATTCGTTGACCTTCGAGAAAACGACAACAACATATAATTGAATTTTGATATCAATTTAAAGCAATCAAAGACAAAGCCCGTAAAGTATGATAAATCATATATGCAAGGCGTGTAACACCACGGCTGTCCCGTGGGTGGCCCGAGCAGCCCGATTGGACCAAGCCCAATAATATAAAGGGCCTATTTCTTTTAAAAAAATAGTACTGCCTCCACCACATAAATTTTTCAACTTTCACATCTTATTCGTCTCACAAAATATTTCAATTTGGATTAAATGGACACAATTCCCTTTAAGTTTCTTAAATCTCACTAAACATATTTCAACTACCTTCTACGCCCTACTCATGCATTTTAATATATATTTCACGACCCTTACTCTTTTTAATTGTTGTCGTTTCACCTTGGAATCGTCAAACTTCTACAGTTACTCCTCCCAAAAGTCAAAACAAGAAATGCTTTATATATAAATTTTAAAGCCTAATTTTTTAGATAGTATGATCACACTATAGGATATATATATCTCCCTCCGTCCCATTGTCTTTGTCCACTTACCTTTTAGCACACCATCCAATGCACTTCTTTAATCCATTTTATCTTGTAATTTGTATATTAAAAAATTATAGAAATTATATATTAATAATCTATATGTTAAGACAAATCAAACAAGATCACACATGACTATATTTAGGCTTACACATTGAGAGAATTTGATTAGTCAAAGTGCTTAGATGAACAGTTTCAAAAGTCAAAAGTGGACAAAGACAGTGGGACGGGGAGAGTATATATATATATAGACACACACACACACACTATGTTGATTTCAATTAAACTTCAAATTATTTTGAAAAAAACACAAGTAGTATCTTTTTTTGAGGAAACACAAGTAGTAACTAGTATACTTGTTTATGAACTTATAAAAATAGTTCAATAAATAAATAAAAATTATTTATGTTTTATCCAAAAATTAATATGAATACTTATGCCTAAAAATTATTGTCATCAATAAAAATTAAGAAATATTTATTCATTATACTTTAATATATTGAAACTAATTTTAACTTCAACAACTTTTTCTCATTTCAAACAGCTTAATATATACTCCATCCGTCCCAAAAAGTCTTTCCTGTTTCATTTTTTGCGCATTCCATGAAACACTTCTATCCCGTCTTGATTGCCAAAAAAACTTTCAAAATAACTTCTACCCATAATAAAGAAGAAATTTTGTAAATTTTAGGCATTTTAGATGTCATTAGAAGTGTTTTATGGGATGCCCAAAAAATGAACCAGTACAAACTGCATTTTTGAATACCCCTAAAAAATAATCAAAGCATAATTTCATGTTGGAACAAAGAGAGTAATTGAACTATTAATTCGTGATGTCTCAAAGGGGAAAATATGAATGATAAATTAAAACGGTAAGTATATGATTTATCAGAGCATAAAACTATTTGTACCCCAAAGGTTTGTACCTCATTTGTACACCGCATGTGTGCATCAACATTTTGTGTTGGTGTAATGCTAATTTTTGTTAACACACCAACATTTTGTGTCAGTATGAACCATCAAAGTATTGGTGTATACCTTTGGTGTAAGTTTGGGGTACGAATTTTGGTGTAACGGTAGCATGGTTCTTTATCGGACATGCTTTCGAAATGACCACATACATGAGTTGTCTACCTCAAACCCGACTTATTTTGCGCATTTCTGTACGCGCTACATGCGACGATGTAAACACAAGTGAGAAGGACAAGTGCAATGACCAAAACAATGTTGGCTCTCTGCCATTGCTTTCTTAGATTCCCCAAAATGCCGGCCTTGCAAGAGTCGCAACCGTAGCACATTTCCGTCGGGTCGTTGCTCCAAACCGAGCAATCGCTGTCTATTGTCGGGTATGTCGGGTTGATCAACGTCGTTGGGTTAACGTATTGAAACCCGCATTTTGTCGGCGGCTTACAACACCCCAACTGAAAGGTTCATCACAAGACCATGTGTTAACTATATTTTCATAACGAGGATTCAAGACTGAAATTAGGATATCCTCTAACCCTTTAATCAGAAGATGCTAATTAAATTTGTAAAGTTCAATTAAAAAAGTCAAGCTGTAATGATATTTTAGTACAAAAGAAGTATTATATTGTGAAGTTAAATTCGATCAACACTACGGATGATAATCATAATTAATTTGTTTGCATTGGCTGCGACCATGCGATGCATAGAACCTTACAAATTGATCATACTCTTTATTTGTATTTCTTGGGGTAAAAAAAGTAGATAGTCAATAATGAACTATGTTTGTACATGCACTGCAATTATCCATCTATGTTCAGAGACAATTATGTTGTATGTGTCAGTAAATTTTTATTGTTAGTCAAATGATCAGACATTATTCACTTTGTTGGCCTATTTTCATCACTCATTTGATAAAATAATATAGTCATGTCACTTCTAGTTTTGTAGATCTTTTGATATAGTTTTTAATTTAATATATAATTTTTATTTTAAAATTTTACACCATTTTTCATATAAAATGATTTGAAAACGACTTCAGTCAAACATTGTAACGCGTAACCTAGGGACGAGGCTTGCACTTTTTTTGTATAGTAACATTAAAAATGAGGTACAAAGTTGTTTGAATTCAAAAATGGTTGAAATTAAGGTTGATTTTTACAAGTAACGCCAAATGAGATAATGATGCAGGGTACAGACACGAGTAGGTTATTTTCGTGCTAAAGTTTTAATGCACCTTTGATTCCCAAGTCAAAAGGGCTGAATTAATTGTACCCCATACTTTATTTTATCCTTTACCGCATGCCATGTGGTTGTCGAAAATGTACCTAAATAGTACTACCTCCCTTTTTCAAAAGAGTTTCTCTTTTGACTTTGGGTGAAAAATAAGGAAGTGTTAAATTGTAGTTGACTTTCCAATTTTGCCTTTGATGTGATGGGTAAAAGTAAGATGTGATAGTTTAGTTGTTAGTGAAAAAGTATGATGTGATAGGTAGGGTATAAAAAAGTAGGGGTAAAAGTGATTTTTTAGTAGAAAGGGGAAGTGTTTTAAGAAAAACAAAAAAAAAATGAAAGAGGAAGAGTTTTAAAAAACAGAGGGAATACTAAAATATAATGGCTTTTCCGATATAGTACTATATGTTTCTTATGTTTTTATTTCTTAATGTAGTATCATATGTTTCATACTCCCTCCGTTTCCAATTTCATTACAAATTTGGATTTACAAGGAGATCGAAATATCTCACTTTTACAAATCGGTAAATCAATAAGAAATAAAAATTACATATTAAATAACTACGTCAAAAATTCTACAAAAAAAGAAGTGACGAGAATATTTTATTTTATCAAATACTTAATTAAATCGCGTAAACAAATAAAAGTTATTGAAATGAGAGAAAAAAGTGTTATAAAAAATGGGGACGGAGGGAGTATGTTTTTATTTATTAATGTGGTACCATTGGACATTGTTCAAACTAAATGTTCACCATCACTGGATATTGTTCCGAACACTAGACATTATTCAAGTAGTACTCCGTAGTATTTAAGAAATAAGAACAGTTCAGTACTACATTAGAAAATGACATACTCCTTTTGTCCCGAAAAAGATGGGATGTTTTTATTTTGAAAAGATTTAAGAGGGTGTGTTTTGGTGTGGAGTTTCTAAAAATGTTCTTGAATGTGATGGGTAAAAGTAAAACTTGATGTGTAGATTAATAGTGAATAAATATGATGTGATAGGAAGGTTAAAAATTAGTAGGGGTAAAAGTGACGTTTTGATAGAAATGAGAAGAATTTTTTCAACTACATCATTTTCAACTACACAAATTTACATTTCTTAAACTCCGTACAAAGTCAAACTATGAATTTTAATTTAGGACGGAGGATCTATGAAATATACGGTGTACTCATCACTATTAATAGAAAAATCATTTCATTAAATTTATCTTATAAAAAATTTTAGAAATTTATTTCATTGTACTACTTCCTCTATTTTTTAAATATTTCTTCTTTCATTTTTTTCTCTGTCTACAAAACAGTTTCACTATCTATTAAAAAATCACTTGCATCATACTTTTTACTATTGATCTATTCATCATATCTTACTTATACTCATCACATTAAGCACAAATTTAAAAAGTAAACTAAAATTATAAACTACTTATTTCACCAATTAGTTAAAATAGGAAATCTTTTTTTGGAAACGAAGGGAGTAATATATACCCGTAATACATATTTAATCAAATTGATGATTAAAATTAATTAATTTTATTTTAAAAACATTAAATTTGACAAATATTTTAGAAGGCATTCGAGTACACTATTTTTTAACTCAACTTATAAACAAAGACGCCATTATATGCATTTTGTTTTATTTTTCCCATCCAATATTTTTTAACTCAACTTACACACAAAGAGAGGCAATTAATTAAATCATTTACTGTATAAGTTAAAAACAAATTATAAAAGTTTATTTTTTTGACCAAAGTTTACCTGGAGTGGAGAAAGATTATTGGCATCAGAGTAGACATCATTGATCCCGCGACAAATGCCATAATCGGCAGCCAAACACGCCTTAATGCCACCCCAGTAGTCCTCCCCGGCGACATGATCCCTCAGCCAACCGGAGTACCCTTCCTCCCCGTAGGCGGCGCCGCCGCCGGGGCGGGTGGCGACGGAGGCGGCGATGAGGAGGGAGAGGAGGAGGAGGATGAGGATGGCCATGAAGACGAGGTAGATGCTGAGGAGGCCCTCCTTGTTCCAGTAGGCCCCCGCGAAGCCGGCGAGGGAGACGAGGAGGACGGCGGCGCCGACGAGGACGACCGGCCACCGCACCCAGTGGATGCACTGGTTTTCCGGCTGCGACGCCACCCATATTCCGGTGGTGATTATGGGTATGGAGCACATTATGGCCAAGAAGTTGAGGAATGCTGTTATGTTGTTGCTTATTAGCGCCCCCGCCATTTTCTTTTTTTTTTTTCTTTTTTTTTTTTCTTTTTTTTTTTT